TATTTTCTATACTGCTGACATGCCTTCTGTTTGATGTGTTTTGTTATTAATGGTTTAAAGTAAAAGGAAACTGAAATAGTTAGTTGAATGAATATATGAATAGATAAATGAACAAATATTGACGTAATCTGTTCATATTTTATGTAATTATTTGTCACACCAAATGCCATATCAACAGAATTCATTTAACAACTAATTTTCAGATATTCATGTGTAGGTACTTTGTATTCATGACCTAGTTAATCATCTAATATAGTTCATTTTCTAACCTCCTAACTCCTTCACTGCATTTGCAACGAATTGAATTTACTAATCTCGTACAAAATTATGTATATCCTTTTAGTGTCGTAGCCCTCCATTTTACTAGTAAATTACACCACTTACACATATCTGATGAGTCTGTATCCCCTACAGTGTACTTGCAACTTACTTCAGTTACTTCGCTCTCTTTATTTCTTTCATGATTTCGTATCCGTACACTTTATTTATTTATTTATCTTTATCTACCTTGCACATTTTCAGATAATAAAATTTGTAAATATTTTATAACCTCGTATATCCCTAAAACGTGTTTACAACTTACTCCACTTCCCGAAGTCTTATCCATAGCCATAAATTTATTTCATAACCATAAAATGCATTTGCAACTTACACAAACGCATATCATACAACACGAATTTATATCATAACCTCGTATCCCTAAAGCCCACCTGCACCTTCCTTCACTCACCAAATGTATTAATTTCACTCACGCCAAATATATTCATTTCAAACACTTGCAATTGCAACTTATCCTCTCCACTTTGCTTTCCACTTTACATCGCTCATTAATCGCTCAGCACTTAACACGAAGATAATATTGGTTATCTTGTGCCTGGCTTTCGTTAAGTTTCGTTAAGGGCCTAAGTATTTTTCTTTAAATCCATTCTATATATATCCTAATGACATGAATAAATTAATTCCATTTCTTCATATTTCTTCCTCGAATATCTAATATCTAAAAACCTAACTTTACCTATTATCATTATCATTTAAAAATAATTTTCCGATTTGCAATAATAAAAAAGTTATTATACACTACGTCCTCAAAGATGCAATAATTCCATCTTACTCACAAAGCTATGCCGAAACAAATTTTTAGAAAATTCTCATGTACTAAGTGTATATTATAGAAAATAATAATGATAATTGAAATAAAAATGTAAAAAGTGACCCCTAACCAGAAATACGTTGTATCTGACCTAATTTGCAGGGAAAATCTAGCTACTATTTTGCCTTATTCTTTTCCCTCTCTATTTCCCTCTTTTCTTCTATTTTATTCCTTTTTTTCTATTTTTCCCTATCTCTATTTCCTCCTTTTTTTCTTCTATTTTCCCCCCTTCCTTAAAACCTACGGTGAACGATAAGGCTCATATTCCTTATCTCTTGACACGTATCAACGACCTTCTTTACTCTCAGGCGTGTATTAGGAATTTGTCTCTTCTCTTCTTCCTTACTCTATTTTTTCTATTTATCTTTTTATTTTTTTTCCTATCTTTATCTTTTTGACGTTTTATTTCATTTTTATTTTCATTATTTTTTAAAATTATATTTACGTTTTTTTTTTTTTTTTTTTTTTTTTTTTTGCTTAAGTTATCTGTTATTTCTCCGCACTTTCTTGTCCACTTTTATTCTATTTTTTATTTATTATTATTTTTTTTTCCTTTGTCTTTGTCTTTTCCTCTTTTTTTAAGTTATTTTTGCTTACACCATTTTCTTTTTGTTATTCTACTTACCTATTTTTGCGTTTTTGTTATTACTGTTACTCCCTTTTTACTTTTTTCCCTTTATTCAAATTACCTAATTTGATTTCTCCAATTTCCCTTTTTTTTCTTATTCTATGTAATTCATTTTACTTCGTCCTTAACTTTTTTTCTCTCTCTCTTCTTTTTATTTCTCCTTTCATTCTCCTTCCTCAGTTTCCACTTCCTCTTCAGGTTTCATCTTCTTTTTCAAAATCTCTCCCTTTTTCTTTTATTCTACTTTTTATTTTTATTTTATTTTCCCTTCTAATCCTTTCTTTTTCTCCTTCTTTCCCTTTCCTCCATCCCCTTCTTCCTCCATTTTCTTTTTTCTTTTTTCCCTTCACTTTTCTTTTCTTTTCTTACTATAACTTTCTCTCTTTCTTTATCCAAATTTCTCTCCTCTATCCCCTGTCTTTTCCCTTTTAACTGTTTCTTTCTCTCCTTTTTATCTCCTCTCTTCCAGACCCTTACTTACCATGGTGTTGACGTGTACTTTTTCTTTCTCTGATTTCTCTTCTCTTTCCCTCTAACCCTTACTTTTTCTCCTTTTTCCCCCCTCTCCTCTGTTCTCTTTCTTCTCTCCCTCCCTTTCTCTTTTTTTCCCTCTCTTCCATTCTCTTTCTCCTCTCCCTCCCTTTCTCCTTTCTCCCTTTTTCCCTCTCCTCCATTCTCTTTCTCCTTTTTTCCCTTCCCTCCATTTTCTTTCTCCTCTCCCTCCCTTTCTCCTTTCTCCTCCATTCTCTTTCTCCTTTTTTCCCTTCCCTCCATTTTCTTTCTCCTCTCCCTCCCTTTCTCCTTTCTCCTCCATTCTCTTTCTCCGTTTTTCCCTCTCCTCCATTTTCTTTCTCCTCTCCCTCTCTTTCTCCTTTCTCCTCCATTCTCTTTCTCCTCTCCCTCCCTTTCTCCTTTCTCCTCCATTCTCTTTCTCCTCTCCCTCCCTTTCTCCTTTCTCCTCCATTCTCTTTCTCCTCTCCCTCCCTTTCTCCTTTCTCCTCCATTCTCTTATCCTTTCTCCTCTCCTCCATTCTCTTTCTCCTTTTCTCCCTCTCCTCCATTCTCTTTCTCCTTTTTTTCCCTCTCCTCCATTCTCTTTATCCTTTTCTCCCTCTCCTCCATTCTCTTTCTCCTTTTTTTCCCTCTCCTCCATTCTCTTTCTCCTCTCCCTCCCTTTCTCCTTTCTCCTCCATTTTCTTTCTCCTCTCCCTCCCTCCCCCCCCCCCCACTTACCGCGAAGTAGTCTTCCATAATGCCGACATCGCCTCTGCCGTCTCCGGAACCAAAAGCAAAAGACTGGAATGCAAGAACAAGCAAGCAATCAACTTAATGATGCAACATAACAGGAAAATAAAAATAAAAAACAAAAATTAAAATAAGTAATGAAGACCGCCACGTATTCTAACTACGATTTCTAAATGCTTTCTAAATTGCTGTTTACATTGAAGAGACACGAAGGAAAATAAAAAAATGAAAGAAGGAAATTTATTTTTTGATGGATGCGTGACTAGTTTTGAAAAAAAGGAAAAAAAATGTTTTTTTTTGAGCAACAGTAAATCAGAATATAAATCATAACAATGCTATGATAATGATATCAATAATAATAATAGTAATAATAATAATAATAACCTACAATGTCTACTAGTAACATTTACTGAATATTTACTACTTTTACCAGACCAGATTTTTTCTTATCTTTTCTTTTTTTACGCGTGAAAAGTCGCGAAAAATGCTGATTTAATAAGAAACTTTCTTTATGGAAAATACTATCAACTTGACAAAAAAAAAAAAAAAATGTAAATGGAATATGCCATTTACGTTTACCATCAAATATTGGTATAAAATCCATTGTTGTTTAAATACGAAAGGGAATTTCCTTGACTGAAGTTGGGAAAAAAATCTAGTCTGGTATTTCTAAAGCTAACTTAAAATAATATATATATATTTTTTATGATGGAGAGACGTCTTGGTTTTAATTGTCCATCATGCTCTCTCAATGACACCTTAAAGATAGACTTCTGATTAAGCAAAAAAAAAAAAAAAAAGAGTGATACAGTAAATAATAACAATAACATTAATCGGGCGAAAATATCATTTGTAAAGCTAAAAAAAATTACAAAATACCAAAATGTTCAGGAAATCGGAAAATATAAGTTTTATGTGACTCTTATCTATCATTTAAAAGATTTAGAAGATGATGCCTAATGAGAAGAGAAAACATTTGCAAATGAAAACACCGCTAAAAATACATTTCTCTATCATGCATACTTTATCTTTAATGACAATACTGATCATAATATTGCATAATGATAATAATAATACTTAATGATAATAATAATACTTAATGATAATAATAATACTTAATGATAATAATAATACTTAATGATAATAATAATACTTAATGATAATAATAATACTTAATGATAATAATAATACTTAATGATAATAATAATACTTAATGATAATAATAATACTTAATGATAATAATAATACTTAATGATAATAATAATACTTAATGATAATAATAATACTTAATGATAATAATAATACTTAATGATAATAATAATACTTAATGATAATAATAATACTTAATGATAATAATAATACTTAATGATAATAATAATACTTAATGATAATAATAATACTTAATGATAATAATAATACTTAATGATAATAATAATACTTAATGATAATAATAATACTTAATGATAATAATAATACTTAATGATAATAATAATACTTAATGATAATAATAATACTTAATGATAATAATAATACTTAATGATAATAATAATACTTAATGATAATAATAATACTTAATGATAATAATAATACTTAATGATAATAATAATACTTAATGATAATAATAATACTTAATGATAATAATAATACTTAATGATAATAATAATACTTAATGATAATAATAATACTTAATGATAATAATAATACTTAATGATAATAATAATACTTAATGATAATAATAATACTTAATGATAATAATAATACTTAATGATAATAATAATACTTAATGATAATAATAATACTTAATGATAATAATAATACTTAATGATAATAATAATACTTAATGATAATAATAATACTTAATGATAATAATAATACTTAATGATAATAATAATACTTAATGATAATAATAATACTTAATGATAATAATAATACTTAATGATAATAATAATACTTAATGATAATAATAATACTTAATGATAATAATAATACTTAATGATAATAATAATACTTAATGATAATAATAATACTTAATGATAATAATAATACTTAATGATAATAATAATACTTAATGATAATAATAATACTTAATGATAATAATAATACTTAATGATAATAATAATACTTAATGATAATAATAATACTTAATGATAATAATAATACTTAATGATAATAATAATACTTAATGATAATAATAATACTTAATGATAATAATAATACTTAATGATAATAATAATACTTAATGATAATAATAATACTTAATGATAATAATAATACTTAATGATAATAATAATACTTAATGATAATAATAATACTTAATGATAATAATAATACTTAATGATAATAATAATACTTAATGATAATAATAATACTTAATGATAATAATAATACTTAATGATAATAATAATACTTAATGATAATAATAATACTTAATGATAATAATAATACTTAATGATAATAATAATACTTAATGATAATAATAATACTTAATGATAATAATAATACTTAATGATAATAATAATACTTAATGATAATAATAATACTTAATGATAATAATAATACTTAATGATAATAATAATACTTAATGATAATAATAATACTTAATGATAATAATAATACTTAATGATAATAATAATACTTAATGATAATAATAATACTTAATGATAATAATAATACTTAATGATAATAATAATACTTAATGATAATAATAATACTTAATGATAATAATAATACTTAATGATAATAATAATACTTAATGATAATAATAATACTTAATGATAATAATAATACTTAATGATAATAATAATACTTAATGATAATAATAATACTTAATGATAATAATAATACTTAATGATAATAATAATACTTAATGATAATAATAATACTTAATGATAATAATAATACTTAATGATAATAATAATACTTAATGATAATAATAATACTTAATGATAATAATAATACTTAATGATAATAATAATACTTAATGATAATAATAATACTTAATGATAATAATAATACTTAATGATAATAATAATACTTAATGATAATAATAATACTTAATGATAATAATAATACTTAATGATAATAATAATACTTAATGATAATAATAATACTTAATGATAATAATAATACTTAATGATAATAATAATACTTAATGATAATAATAATACTTAATGATAATAATAATACTTAATGATAATAATAATACTTAATGATAATAATAATACTTAATGATAATAATAATACTTAATGATAATAATAATACTTAATGATAATAATAATACTTAATGATAATAATAATACTTAATGATAATAATAATACTTAATGATAATAATAATACTTAATGATAATAATAATACTTAATGATAATAATAATACTTAATGATAATAATAATACTTAATGATAATAATAATACTTAATGATAATAATAATACTTAATGATAATAATAATACTTAATGATAATAATAATACTTAATGATAATAATAATACTTAATGATAATAATAATACTTAATGATAATAATAATACTTAATGATAATAATAATACTTAATGATAATAATAATACTTAATGATAATAATAATACTTAATGATAATAATAATACTTAATGATAATAATAATACTTAATGATAATAATAATAATTATGATAATCGTAAACGTATTCATCAACATCCTAATATTAAGTATAACCATCTCTTACAATTTTTTTTCTCCACGAACGCCTGTCATGACTCTCGAAATCACCAATTCTCGCTCAGTGACTCGCTGAACATTCGCAATAATTTTTTTTTTTTTTTTTCCAAATTCCTGCCCATAACCCCCAAGAATAATCAACATGCCCTACACCTCAATCTACAGACCCATTAACACGCCATTAAACCCCCATCGCCACACACAACGCCTGTGGGCCTGCTGGCGGGGGCCGTTCTGACCATGCATTCGCCACCAGACAACCAGGCAGTCGGGCAGATGTTACGTAATCAGAGCAGACACACCGGCTGCCAGAACCGGTCATGCCCTAAAATAATACCCCACGCCTTTCGCCCCATACATACGCGTGGGGTTTAAGTGGAGTGGGGGAATGGGGGGGGAGGGAGGGAGAGGGAAGGAAGAGGGAGAGGGTGATAGGAAGGGAAGCATCAATGTCTGTATATGATATTACATTTGTGTATGTATGTATGTACGTATGTATGTATGTATGTATGTGAGAGATGTGTGTCCCTTTGAATATATATAAAAGGTAAATTTAATTGTGCCATCAAACAGACGTAATAATAATAAGGATAATAATAATAATAATAGTAAATACAACAGTTAAAATAATAACAACAGTGATTAATAATATTATTGATAATAATAATAATTATGATAATCGTAATAGTAATTAGAGTAATAGCAACAATAATAAAAATACAACAGTAAAAATAATAACAACAGAGATTGTAATAAGACCAACTACAAACACTAGAACCCCCTTTTCCCCCCCTTTCGAGAAGTGGGGACCTCTCCCTTCTCCCCCCTCCCCTTCTCCCTTCTCCCCTCCCCCTTCCCCCCATATCCCCCATCCCCTTCTCCCCATATCCCCCTCCCCCTTCTCCCCTCTCCCCCCTTCTCCCTTCTCCCCCCCTTCTCCCCTTCTCCCCCTCCCCCTTCTCCCTTCTCCCCCTCCCCCTTCTCCCTTCTCCCTCCCTCCCCTCTCCCCCCTTCTCCCTCTCCCCCCCTTCTCCCTCTCCCCCCTCCTCCCCTCTCCCCTTCTCCCCTCTCCCCCCTTCTCCCCTTCTCCCCCCTTCCTCCCCTCCCCCCTTCTCCCCCATTCACATCCGTCGGCGCGCGAGGAGGAGAAGCGAAAGGGTTAATCGCCGTAAGAAGTTGTCCCTCTCGAAATAGCCTCGCGCAGGTGGGGGTGGGGAGGCGGGGGGAGGGGGTAGGGGGGAAGGGAAGGTGGGGTGGAGGCGGGGGGACGGGGGGAGAGGGTGGGGGGAAGGTAAGGGTGGTGGGGAGAGGGGGTGTGGGGTGTGAGGTTGGGAGAGGGGAGGGGAGGGCAGGGAGG